GATAGCTCGAGAGATTCAAAGATATTCTATTACTGAGTGCTTGACCAAGTATAATATGTCTATATATTATTTCAAGCAACATGATTTCTCAATTTTGACCGATGCATTCGCATCGTTGGCATCGGTCTGGATCCGCCCCTGCCACACACTCACACAGTGTGATCAATTTCAGTCATCAGCACAAGACAAACTCAAACCCCGCAAACGCTTTTGTAAACAATAAGTAAATTAGATGGCATTCCAGTATATAAGATGACAAAAATTTCCTGTGAGATGTAAGAATTTCTTGCATATATATTTTGTTAAAAAATTCCTGGCAGCGGTGCTGCTGCAGGAGATTTTCAGGCACTGTAACACATACCATATCGAGCATAAATATTTGGTTGAATACCACTGCATTCCCTTACTAAGAATGGAAATCTTGGATTTTCTTTTTTCAAACCAACGTAATACTTTTCAAGGAAATCTCTGTGTGTAAAATGAGGAGAAAAATAATTAACTTAAGCTTCTTCTTCTAGTTCAGGTTTTTGAAAAGATATTTGGGTTGGAAATAACATTAAGTACGGCAGGATTGTGACAAATCTGAAGGGTGGTTAACAGCCATTTACAATAAGCCAATTCAAATTCTGGACTGCACAACCAAATTTATGAGCCATTCTGCATCAGGATAAATTGCAGTTTAACTGAATCATAACAATTTAAAGCAACTCAACCTTGCAGAAACTAATAGTTTTATAAGCAACTATTTGCATAAATTATTCAAAGATAATTGAACAGTTGAATAACTTTCATATGTCCAGTCTCATCTACATGTTATTATAGTTCATCTGCAGTTTCTCCTGATCGAGCCTGGAAATAAGTGTCCAGTCACTGTCATTAATTGACCTACATTCAGGTATCCACATGGATATACCAAGGTTTTAAAATTTGGTATCCCTCCCGATAATCCAGTATCCCAAATCTGGATACTTAACTAGTTGGCTTTTCGTATCCCAGGGCCAGACCCAACATCACCCTAAGGCTTACTCTTAGTCAAGCATTTTAATCCATCGCATTTTATGTTTAATATGCTAGAATCCTAAAAACTTATACAGTTTATTAACAGTTAACAGGGTTATTTAATTATTACAGTCTAAGTGTCTGTATCATCATCAAGACTTTTCAATGTGGAAACACTATTCAAAATGGCAACTTGCGAAATTCAACCATGAGTGGACTACATAGATACAACGTTATGACGAATGCTAGACTCGTGTTACAGCACTATTTAATGAACAGAAATGTGGGGAGACTACTAAAACACTAACTGCTACCCCAATTTAAAAAAAAATGTGGCATCCCATCAGGATACAAGTAAAATAAACTTAGTATCCAAAACCAAATTTCACTATCCTGTGGATATCAGGATACCGCAAATTTCAGACCCTGACATTATACTACATGTAGTCTGCACTGTATAGGACGGGAAAGTGTGAGATCTCCTAAGGGTCTGGTTCAACATGGGTGGGGAGACCTTCAGATATCACAAAATAGACTTTTAGTTACAAAATAAACTGGCTCTGGGTATGAGACTGGTGTTCATCTCATATCATCTGCAAAAACTATAGTATTCAGGAAGCAAACTGTAGTTTCTTCATAACAGCTGGGTAGATTTCGCCAAGAGACTACCAGGGTGCATTCCATGTAAAATGTATGCCGAAGATACACCAAAATTAACTATAGATAGTATTGTTATTTGCCAAAGATCTTCGGCGTGTTGCACTTAAAATGCACCCTGGAGAGACTACAGTTCGCTTGTAGTTTGCTTTCTCCTAAAATAAAATAAATTCTTGTATGGCAAAATAAGTTTAACTAGCATTAATTCTTGCCTGGGGTGGGGAATTGCTAGTTTTTTAAGGCCTGGGAATTTGCAGTTATCTTTAAAATAAATTACAAATCGCCAGGGTGTTACCGGGGAGGGGGGGGGATGGTTATTTCATGCATTTATAATAGTAATAAATGTATTAGAATTTTATGAATCATGATGCCATACTAAATACGTTATAACGCCCAGTTTCAGAAATTAAAAATTGTATTTTCCCTACCTAACTCCTTGACTACTTTTCGACGTCTGGCATAAATGGATTCGAATTTCCCGAAGAGCTTTTGGGAAATTCAATCTTCCAACAGCAGCCATATTGCCGTTCTTGACTTCTGAGCCCAAGGTCACAGAGTAAGGATATACAGAGGCGGAACTCGAGGCAAATCATGTCCCCACTTTTTTAATGCGCATGCGCGACCCTCTGGCAAGTGTCATGCACATTTTTATCAGGAAAAAGATAGGGAAATGCAAAACTTTGACAGTAAAACGGCGATTTTAAGCGCAGTAACCGATCAATCTTCATTTTCTGCACGAATTTTGCAAATAAATGGCACACTGCGTCTTCTTAGCAAAAGCGAATTGAACGAAAACCATTTTTAACGGCGAAAATGAGAAAAGACACCCGAAGGAGTGAGAATTTCTGGCAATCTGAAGATTCGATTCTGTAGACCTGAACTCCAGCTGGAACTTGGCAACTTTATATGTGAGTTTTTTTTCTCTAGC